CCCCAAAACCCCAAAACCCCAAAACCCCTTAGACTTTTTAAAGTCCTTAATCGATAAAATTAATTTTATTTGGGTAAATTATAAATTATAGTTTCAAAGTAAGATAAAAGTTAGAATAGATGCTAGCAAAACAAGTCCTACTTGTGTTATTATTCCTATTTCTTTTTCTAAGTTAGTTAGGCTTGTTGACATAACTTCTTCCATGCATTGCCTAGTAGTAGGAGTTTGAATATATTGCCAATAAGTAATATTGAATTAAGATTATACAGCCTTTTACCAGGCTGAATATAACTCTCCTCCTTACACTGCTCCTACCCCACAATCTTTCTATGCTGCCATGTTCATCCAATCTACTGTTTAGCATTTAGTGTATTGAAGCACAAGCTATAAAGAATCGACATACGTATCAAGTTAATCCTACCCTGGGTATGGACATATTCCAATACTCTTATTGTTCAATCCTTCATCTAAACTACAATCACAGTATTCTGTAGCAATCAAGCTATACTAATTTACTCCTGTACCAGATTTGTACCAATATTTACATGCTTTAAAGTGTTCATCTTCTAATGAGCAGTAATATGGACTGCTGATTGGAGTCGTACTGTTCACATCATTCCTATTAATATTGGTAGTTATTTTATCAATTTCAACACAAGTTGCAATACTTTTATTTGTACTTATGGCTGCTATTCCAGATTTACAATATTTTCCTGCTTCTAAACTATTTTCTAATAGAGACTTTAAATCATCATAAAGCACACCAAACATTTTCCCCATTTCTTATGAGAACAGCTAAAGGCATTCTCTTTGCTTAGAGTTAGGCAAACTAGGCCAGCAGAAGTGAGTATAATCGCATTCATTGTCATTTGCACAAATTCCAGATGTGAACATTTTCTTGCATGTGGTAGCAAATGGAAAACCGGTATCAGGATTACAAGCTAAACCTACATTACATTCTTCATGGCTTGAACAACTGACACCTTCTGTTTTACCAATACATTTTCCAGTTGTTTCATCACAAGTATTACTAAGACATTGCGCACTTACTTGGCACTTCCTTCCGTTTTGGAGCTATTGCTAGAATGTGGTGATATCCTCACAATGTTTCTGTGTGTATCTATAAAATACCTGAGAATTATTCTTATAAGATAGGTCTAGTCTTGACATGTTTTGATTAAAAGACCTGACCCAAGCATACTATCCATCTTCTAGATAACACCATTAATCTGAAGGACATTTGAATGTTCTAATCTAAGTAACTGGACTATCACCTGAATGCAAAAAACAATAATCGCCCCCAATTGGCGAGTCACAAGATAAAGTAGGGCATTAGAATGCTTGGTAAGTATAACCAATGAGACCAAGTGCTAGAGCTATCTTCACGATTGTTTGTAAATTTTTCATTTTTAAATTTTGATACTTTATAATTTTTCTTTTATTCTTAAATGCTGACTTATAAATCGCTCAGGGGTTTTGGGGTTTTGGGGTTTTGGGG